AGGCAGTCTATGTATTTCTAAGTTAGTTCTGTGACTGTACTGTTCCAGTTTATTTACCTCTTGCCTTAGCTTTTCAGCTGCAGTGTTGTTTTGCATCTCGACATCCGATAGTCGTTTCTTTAGGCCTGAGATTTCTTTGAATTGCTCTGTCATTTCTGACAGTTCATGGTCATACTTGTCAGACAATTCCTGTACTTTCGTTTCGATGTTGATTACAGCTTCCTTTATCATCATCAAGGAGTCCACCCTCTCCCGGATGGCCACGAGGTCTGCTTCTTGCACAGGGGTTGTGATGATGTCAGAACACTGAACACTTATTGACTGATTGAAAACAAAATAGTGGGTAGACCTCAAAGCACCTAGCATTGAGGTCTAACCTCTATCTTTTAGATCAAAGTCAGTCAGTGTTCGTGGTCGTTCTGACCTCACCGCAACTCCTGCGGAAAAAGCAGACGACTTGAGCTCCACATGAAAGCATGTCTCGATGCATAAATATTTACTAGGCCCAATTCGTTTGCTATGACCGGACACCTTTCTTGTCTCCCTTCAATACCGGCTAAATGACAAGGGCTTTTTTCCTCTAACACCGTCACTCTTCTTTACTCGGAAAAAATCCGCAGCGCATCTTGGGAATTATGGCAGGGGGCACAATGTATTATAAGATAGGTATATCAAATCCTCGAGGCACACCACTTCCGCTGTAACCAATTCCAGTCTGATATGGCACTCACAAAATATTAATATTCAATAAGTTTTGTCCTGGCGGCATACGGTCGAACTTGACAAGAAGGATCTGTTCGTGGCAAGATATAGTTTGACTGTTGTACATATATGATGAATGATAAATTTCCGCCATTCACGGTGAAAATTAATCATTCTCTCCATTACGTCTCCCATGCAACTCGATAAAGCTATTGGCTAGTGAGAAGCAATGTTGTAGGGAGTGTTTTCTGGTTTTAAAATGACTAATATCCAGCCATCCTTCCAGAATATGGATATTTGGCCCGCCTTCCAGGAATCGTTGAAAAAATTTAGTAGTAGTTTTTGACCACGGGGGCCCAGAGTGGCGAGGGTCATTTTGAGCCTGATGTTGAATATCGGGGGCAACATGGTGGGCTAACTGTTCAGCTGGGGCTTTGTCCACCCTGGATGCTTTTGTGACCTTATCGTTAGCGCCATTATAACTTTTGTTTATGCTTGCATGAAGATGGGCTCGCATACTTAGCGGAAAAAAGTGCCCGCTAGACAGGCCTTGATCGGGGTATTGTTGGCTGTTCATCGGGCTGTTCTGTAGTCCAACTTGTCTTCCTTTCGTAGTCAACGTATTTCCAGTTCACATTTACCTTTCGCGCACTGTTGTGATGTCGTTTCGTGTTCCTTGCCACGATTATAGCAGCGGACAGTTGTTGCCTGGGCATCACAGTTAGCTCGCTGGTGTTGTCCAGAACAACGCCAGCATACTGGAGAATTTCGTCAGGTAGATTTGATATTCCCGAAACGGCAACACATATGACATTGAATTGGCGTTTCGGCGAATGATTCTACTTTGTGCCGTCTAAACAAAGAAAAACACACTGAAGAAGTCTTGATGAGAGTGCAACATGCAGTAGCACTTATGGCTAATGCATGTTGTGGACAGTGTTGCCAGGTTGGGCTTTATATAGCCAAGTGGGGCTACACGTTCTTTCTAGTTGGCGTCAAAAGTTTGTGGTTGGCTATGTGTCTATTTCGGGGTATTTCTAAGAATGCGGCGAACTATTGTTGAGCCTCAGGTTCGACGCCAAACTTTGAGGTTCGCCGGCACTGCGGCTACAAGCCCGGTATAACACCTTCAACCCGGACGCATATGGCTCTGCCCGGACGTAGACTGAACTCTCCAGATGCTGTTTTGGTGCCCATTGTAAAAATCCTTAGGCACCCAAGTTTGTAAAAATGAGAAGTCCCCAATTTCACCGCTAAACACACGACTACCTTCCAGTCGTTCTTCACCCCAAGAAAGGACAACAGAATCAGAAATAACGTGAACATGAACGGGTGACACTAATATTTTTCGCAAAGAAAAAGAGACGGGTGGGATATTGGTAAGGACCTGAGATATTGGGGTTCTGATTTGAAACACCCAGGGTTCTGACTTTTCTGCTTCTGTTTTTTGTTCTTTTCTGTATGATCATATCTCCCGGGCTTCACAATAAAGCGGTCTTCGTGTGTTTTGTAATTCTGAAAATCGAAGGAAGGGTCAGTTTTGTACGAATTTTCATCCTTCCGAAGCATTTTTTTAAAAATTCACAATAACCGAATGTAACTAAACGTTGGTGCATCTGAGGGTTGAAACAGAGTTTGTAACGTGTATTGTATGAGTGTGAGAAATTGTGAATATCAGGCTTAAAAATCATTGCTTTTAAACTTGGCTATTTGGCTATATTTGTGCTATACCTCCCAGTCAATTGGCGGTTTTTGGTGGGACCATCTGGCAACACTGGTTGTGGATGTACCCATCTGACGAACAGATGTAATTGTTGTGTTGTTATTTGTTTTAACTCTTCGTGTATCTCGGAAGAGTTGATGTTAGTATAAACTCCTCTCATGACTCCGGTTGCCTGGGCTTGGGAACGGGGCTCAAAGGATTTAACAGCAGTTCTTAGCAAAGATGTCAGCTTCGGAAGAGAAGCAAGTCCTTCAGCATTTCGTGCATCGACATAAATCAGGTTATTCTGCAGTTCGTGCGAATTCGAACAATAGAGGCAGGTGCTTTTGATTGGAGTAGCTCTGTCAGTTTTAGTTGGCTTAATTTGGAAATCAGTTTCGTCTCATCTGCTGGCTTGAAGATGACAGTCGGAGTTGAAGGTCGGGCCTAAACAGACATTTTCGTATTGTTCGAAGACGAACTCTTAGGTTGACGACATCGTTTCTTTGCTTTTTTGATAGCTTCAAAGTGTAGCCCTCGTCGTCCGTTGTAGCGGCATTATCAATGTCCATAAAGCTATAAAGATGCTGCGCAGCGGTCAGAAATTCGATGCACATGTTTGTTTCAGTCGTTAAAGAGTCATCCACGGTTGTGCAATCGCCGTTCGGCAGTGCAGGTCGTTGGGCTAGTCCTTGGAATGCTGCTGCTGAGTGGGTCGGTTCATTGGTGGATACCGTCTGGAGTTGGGGGGGGGGGGGGGGGGGGGGCGATGGGCGCCCCGGATCCAGAGGCCATACCGGGGTCGAGGTAGATGAACGGTGACTGTGGTAGCGGAGGGTTCAATTTCAGGGTATTATTTACGACAATATTAATTAGAGGGGTGAAATGGCGCTTCAGCGTAGAAACACTTGGTCTTCATCTTTTTCTAAAAACCCATATTTTTTTTTTAATCTACACGCAACGTGCTGAAAGTGAAAATACCAAGTATATCTTTTTAAACGAATCGCCGCGACACCATACTCTAAAAGCAACCTGCGAGTCCACTTTTTCGTAAAACAAACAAAAAACAGCAAATCACCTCGAATATTTGAAGGATCTCAGCCAAAGAAAAAGCTCAAAATACATTATCAGGTTTGTAAAATAGTATGGGCACAGAGACAATGTTCAACTAAAACGTTATGCTTGTTGTTTCTGTACGCAACGCAAGTTTCTTTCTTTTTTTTTTGTCCATTTCTATTTTGAGAGGAGGACATGAGAGCGCGCGGTGATGTTAGAGGGCCGGGCTCTGATTGGAAGGATTAGTGGCTAAACACGAAGGCTAGCTCTTTGTTCTCCGCCCACTCTCTACGTCGAGACAAAGCAAACAAGTCCGTCGTCTGTTCCTCGTACAGTGCCTCGCGTTCGAACGGCGACAATGGCGGCCTTTTTATCTACCCACTAATCATACCAATAAGAGCTCGGCGTTCGGATATCCAGGAGCTCATTCATCTCGGTATCTCTCTCCCTCTCTCTCAGTTTATCCTCGTACTGTACAACGTGACTGGAAGCCCCAATGTACTGCAGAAACGCAACCTCACGAATTATGTTTTTATTTTTTTTTTTATAGTAGCGGCGCTGATCTTTGATTTCAGGGCGTTTCTCCGGCGATGCTTTCGATCCAATCGAGCCGTGTTGAGATCCTCGAGAATACAGGCGGGTAACCGGGCTCCGCGCACTCTGTACCAAACGATGTGCTTCCCGCCAACACGTAGCGGCCGTCCTCCCGTGGACACACCAGGGGTCCTCCGGAGTCACCCTGGGTAGAAGATTTACATAACTAACTTCATCCACCGACACGTCCTGAAATTGAAGTTGCACTTAAAAAAGACACTTAATGGCAAGAATGTCTGCGAGCTTCTGAACTTGACAGAAACCCTGAGTCGCAAATGTCTAAGTCTAAATCTGCGGTCACACAGCAAATGAATCATACAGAAGACAGATTGCAGACAGGGTGGGCGTGTTTCTTTTAGACTAGGCTAGGTGGCGCAAGCTACCGCCCATTAAAAAGGTTATAATCATTAGTATCCATGGAACCATCCATCCATCCTTCCGACGGTGCTGTCAGATTGGCCGTACGAAAACTGCGTGGAGACATTTTCGAAGTCGTTAAATGTATGGAGCGGAAATTCTTTGAACATGCTTCAGGTGCGTGTCTGAAAATAATTGTCATCGCGTTTGAAGTGAACTCGGTAACTTTGGTACAATGTATAATCAGTGAGCCAGCTTGGTCAAGTTGACAAAGACCGTGGAAAAAAAATATCCTTAGCACAATCTTATCACCTAGCGAAGATTGACGCCGCGTGACTTGAGGTCGTGGTTGCGTCACATCAAGTTCACTCCTAAATTTAGCGGGGACAGTGATATCACCTGACTTGGGGTTGCATGACGTGACCAGGTGACGCCGATTTCCTGGCTAAATTTAACGTGAAAATAGACGTCAAGTGACCATGATTTCGCCGCTAAATTTAGCGGAAAAAACTGACCGTACGGTCCTTCCCGATGGTGTTTCTCGAGAAACTCGATTGATTAAACACATCATGTGTTGGTATTGGTTTACCTCGCACGGCGCTTTCCCGCCCTCCTCGTAGCCAGCGCAGACCATGGTGTTCTCGTCCACCTCGGCGAGCCCCTCGTAGTCCTCCTTGCACTCCTCGAAAGGTACGATGGGCAAGTCCACTTTCTTAAGGATCTTCGAGACCTTGCCACCATCTGCGCATGCCCAAACAATCGGCGTTATGGTGTCGATCCGGATCTACAATCTTCGACAATATGAACGACTCATGCACTTAACGGGGAAGTTTTAGCCAGAATTTCACGGACCTTATTACACAATTACTTTTGAAAGTAATTGCGAAATTATTTCAATACATTTATTACCAAGTAATTAGACGGGTTATTTGATTACTTGTGGGAGTACTAATATTACTAATACCCATTAATATTTTTGCCTCCTGTTCCCAAAGGCGCGCTTTGTTTCTTCAAGTTACCCACCAAGAAATCCTCGAAATAAATCTCCTACAAAAAGATAGTTTAACGAAAAGTGTGAATTAAACAGATAAGTAGTCATTAATTCGGTGATTCTAATGTAATAAATGAACAGTAAAAACATTGGTTTTAAACCGACAAACACGTTTGACGTGTTGAAAATTTGAAGTGATCGAAAAGGTAACGATACAATTTCAAGTAACAGCAAATTACACTTTTCTTTTCAAGTGGACGACTGATCTTATTTAATTATTTTTAACCAATAAAACTTGTAAATGTGATCGATGTTTTTTTTTTTTTTTTTTTTTTTTTTATTAGTAACGTGTTTAAAACTGCTTTCAGTTGGTAATGCTCTGTATTAGCTTTGGCTAGGTTCATATTGCTCGGGGAGAGGAAATAAAGAAAAGTTTGTCCTATTCGCTCTCTTTTAGAACAAAGCGTCTCCGCCTTAATAAGTGTGCTTAGCATCACCGCATCAATTGCCACCGCGAATGGGAGTTGGATAATGTGTGAAAACCGCATATTGTTTCCTATTTTTGATGACCGCTGAATCTCCGGTGAAATGAATGCATTGTACGAATATATTGAAAAGAAAAATAAACCAAATAATAGTTCTTTAAAGACGGGATGCGTTTTTAGCAGAATTTAACAAAACCGACTACTAGAATGTTATCAGTCACTCCGGGCCTCTCTCCCTGCGTTTCCATGGTAACTTTCATCGCCAGAAGTTTGTGACATCGTATGCTCGCGCCATCTCTTAGAGGGTTACGGAAGTGCTCCAATCGAAGCTCATGCTGTTAATATACAAATATGACCATAACATCAAAACGTTACGCTTTGAACAATTTTCTTTGCTATAACTCCATTTTATCATATACCGCTATTCTTGTGTTAAAATTTCAAGATGACGGCGTGTAAACTGCGGGTTCCTCCGTCCAGTCGAATAAACTTTTTGATGTATAGCCACTATGGACAGTATCCAAGTTAATCAAGGTATTTAATTTATTCTTAGGTATCCAAAAATAACAAAAAAAACTCGCTATGATTGCATAAGTTAAATGCAATCCCTTCCCAACGTTCTGACAAATTTTACAGTGTCTTAGATATTATTATTATATTAAAATATATATTTCGGAGGCACCTCGCGCAAATTTTCGTGCAACAGCGAAGATCAAACGAGTACAATTTTAAAATACAGCGAAGTACAGGGTTTGACATATGACTGATTACCTCATCCTTCTTTTATTTTTAAAGTGACTTAGTTTTTTTCCTTTTTTTTTCACTTGTCACACACGCCGTTTAGGCGGTAATTTGCACACGGCGTTAAAGTTAAGAGTGAATACGCCGCGTGGAGATAGATAAGTGAACTGGAAGCGACTGTCGCAAATTTCTGACCATGAGTGTCAAAATTGACGTAACTTCGTAACCTGACTTCACCTGACACATACCGACTGACTTTTTAGATATAAACATACATTTATCTTTAAGCAAACATACATTTTTTAATATTTTTAGAACGCAGTCAGTTTTATGCTATATCACTATATTTGATTTGTGACCCATTATATAGGACAACTAGATATAAAAAATATGCTCAAACGTACAATATTGAAAAAGAAAACTTCATTACTAAGTTACCTGTAACGCCGAATTACAGCGCAGCGCTTGATGAGGAGGGGAAGGTTCGAAAAGGAAGCTATGCTCCTTCTCCTCTCCTGCTCGCCCCCCATTTAGGGCAAAAATTTCCCCGCTAAATATAGCGGAAAACATTCCCCGCTAAATTTAGCGGGGACATCTTTCCGCTAGATTTAGCGGGGAAATTTTTCCGCTAGATTTAGCGGGGAAATTTTTTCCGCTAAAATTGGCGGGTAAAAATTTTCCGCTAAATATAGCGGTGAAATTTTTCCGCTAAATATAGCAGGGAATCTTTTCCGCTAAATTTAGCAGGGAAATTTTTAGGCTAGATTTAAAAGGGATTCCGCTAAATTTAGGTGGGAAGTTTTTCCGCTAAATTTAGCGGGGAAAATGTTCTGCTAAATTTAGCTGGGAAAATTTTCCGCGAAATTTAGCAAGATTTTTTTTCCGCTAAATTTAGCGGGGACAGTTTTTTGCTAAATTTAGCGGGGAAAATTTTTTCCTAGATTTAGACGGGAAATTTACCTATCCTGCACCACGCGGCTACGCCGACGCCGACGCCGACGCCGCTCAAGCTGGAAACGGGCGCCTAAGAGTTGAGCTCTAAATGCTGTGGCCAGACGAAATACTCTGGCCGTAGATACTGATATGGTGCCTGGATGGCGTCTTCCACTGGTGTGTTTAGCGTCCTATCCCGCGCATACATCAAAAATGGTCCCAAAGTGGCAACAAATGACGTCACAGAAGCCAAAGTGTCATGCTGTTGCATGCCGCGATCCTGGCGGCTGGTTGTTGAAATGCTAACGAGAAGGCTGCGAGTAGCACAACCGAACACGAGTGTCGCAGTCATCATGGCGTCCCAACTTCTGGCTGCCGAAACTTCCGTGGACCGTCACACTTGAGAGCGACTTGGAGCAGATCAGGCATCTGCTACAAACACCACCGCTGTTGGGACGCCGCCAGGATCGCGACCGGCGACAGCATGACACTTGTATGACGTCATCAGGCGGAAATCGAGGGACCACTTTTTTGGGCGCGCTAAACACACCAGTCGGAGACGCGTTCCAGGCACCATAATACTGATACAAAATTGCCAGAAGGAGAATATGTTTGCGTGCCTAAATCTCGGTGCAATCTTTTGTGTAGAGACTCGCGTGTTACGACTTGCGAACAAGAGCGCCATTTGTTGCCGCTACGGTCACATGGTCGCCTACGCTAGCCAATAGGAGTGAGACACCATCCGCGAGTGAGCCCTGTTGCAGTGGTGACACTAGTGCACTCTAAAAAAAAAAAAATCTTTGCTATCTACGTTTACTCCAAGCACACGAAAGAGCCAATCACTGTAAGCTATGCAAGGATCTCGGCGATCGAAGAGGATAAAAACAAATTTAAACCTAAAAAAGACAGCTTGCACTGTCATAAAGTCTTGACTCTTGGCTCTTCGAAATGCTGTGCTAGAAATTTGACGCTCTTGATTTCTTGGAGTATGTACTGTCCTCTTGGTCCAATTGCTACTATACCTTGCCTTCACGTTTTAGGATTTCACCAAAATATCTTCTATAGGTTAAAAAAAAAAAGACCAACCTTTAGTGAATCCCCATCCGGTTGCGGTGCAGATCTCGCCATCGAATTCCTGGTTCTTTGTTGGAAGACAGATGGGCATCACAGCGCTGTCGGCACCGCTGAAGTCCAGTGGCGTCTTCAGCTTCAGAAGCGCGTAGTCGTAGGTCGTGGCCTTCGTGTCCCATTTGGGATGAATGCTCACCTGCTTTTTCAAAATAATACTTTTTTAAAAACGTGCTTTTGGAAGGCAGTCATTGAACATAGCAACGCTATATATACTCTAAAAAGTCTGCAGTGTCCACTTTCCCACAATGCAGCGGACAAGTAATCGAGCCTTGAAATAAGGACGGTCCACACCAGCCCGCAAAACGTCGCCCGTAATAATGCGGAGAACAAAACCAGTTTTTTAATATATATATATATATATAACCTCCGCAGGCCGGATTTGGGGAAATCTGTGCGGGACAGTCTGAGCAAGGAGAGAGCAAGCTAGCGCTCCGGCGACGGGCGGGTTAAGCGGGAAAGGGGAAAACGCACGTTAGTCTTCACTAAAGTCACTGGACCCTGGGAAAGTAGGGCCATTGCCTTCGCTACCTGCTAGCCGGACACAAACAGATACTAACATACAGACGACCCAAACCTAGCAAGGCGATTGGCTAATCGGTCTGCGTTGCCATGGAACTCGCCATCTTGGTCCATTTAAATCTTCGAAGCTTCCTGAGGGTCGTTCTAAACCAGTCGCGCCAAGATAACCATGGAGCATCATCGTACTGGAGGCGTTTCTCGCCAATATAAGTGTCTTTGGCACTCTGTATGCAATCAACTTATTATTCATGCCCATCTCCATGGATCTCTTACAATTATATTGTTCTTCTTGCGTATTTCAATACAGTAAACATATTTTTCAGTGCCTCCAAGCACCGGCACAGCGTCTGGTGGTGGTACGAAGGTGTACGCTTGTTTCGCCGGTGTGTGGTTAGCAAAATCTCGGTATACAAAAAACCACTCCATAAAGCTACCCGTCACCAGCGAATCTAGATCGGCTCACCAAGAACAGAGGGGTCAAGGAGAAATTGCTCATTTCACGGACCAAGATGGCGACCACGCGGGGAGTTTGGCGCTACTTTCCCAGGATCCAGTGACTTTAGTCTCCACGGGCGGAAGAGGGAGAAAAATAACTCTTTTTTGGGCAGGTCGGCGGATGGACCGAAAAGGACACTTCGCGCCACCGGAGCCAATGTATGGCTCAAAGGGCGTCACACGCTCTTCCGGTTAGGCGGAGTGACCCGGGGAGAGCTAAGTCACGAGACAAGCTACGAACTACGGATTGGCTCATGTAGCTCATAGCGTCCATCTAGGCGCATTGTAAGGTGAATCAGAGAATCGGAGTGGTATCTGACCGTGCCGAGAAGGTAAAGAGCTATGATTTGTGTGTGTATCCGTGTGCGTGTCTGTGTTTCTTTCCCTTTCTTACTACTGAGAAATATTCCTTAAGGAAGGAGAAAGCCAACATAAACATCAAAGGAAAAACAATAAGTTGACGGCTGTCGGCGCATTTGTTCCGCGGGGGTGAAATCTGGAGTCAACAAGAGGCGAAGCCGCGACAAACGCGACACTGTGGCGTCGGTCGCCGGGATGAAGGTCGCCCAAAACCGACGCTGCTTGAAGAAAAACTGTTTGTGTGTGTGTGTGCGTTTTCTAGAAAAAGCAAGTCGCCTGTTGTCTCTTTTATGTCCTCTTTTGTTTTAATTATCGTTCGACCGAACGTCGCTGTCTTTCTCCTTTTCAACTCAGTCGTTCCAGCAAGTCGTTCGTGCGATAATCCACGCTAGGTACGCTGCCGGAGTCAAGGTCAGGGACAACATTCCAAATCAAGGACGGAGACCGCACTGACTGGCCCAGTCAGGCATCGTCTTCGTCGTCTGTTTATTTACCACCGCGGTGGCGCCCTCGTGTGTACAACGCAAGATATCACACCCCTCCCACCCCTAATAATGACAGTTAGTGGAAACTAAGAGATATAAAAAAAGGTTTGTAAAAATGAATCAGGGTGATTACGGAGAGTAGCGCTGCACAGGCCGACGCACCCTGGTGCCCCGACGGGGAGGTGTGGTGATAGTCGTTTGACGAGGAGACGCTGTGCTTTCTGCAGCCCTTGGCTGCTGTTGTTCATCAGCTGGAACCTCTGGGCAGGTGACTTCAGGCGTATGACAGGGGAGGTCAGGTGCCAGAACAAGCTCTGCTGTTTTGGACATGTCAGGACCAGTGCCTGGAATGTCAGGGTCCTTCTCAATGTCCGCAGCTGTTCCAGCATGTCTACTGTGGTCAACTTGCGGCAACCGGTTCGCCTGCCGGAGATGATCATGGTGGCGCGTCCACTGTCGCCCGTCAGCCAGCTGGAGGTCCGATGAATATGTTCCGTGGGCGGTGACTACAGCCGGCATCCATGCAGGGCCTGGACGAAAGTTCTTGGCGAATACTTGATCACCAGGCTGTGCTTGAATCCGAGGTTTTGTTCTTTTGTCACATCTAATTTTCTGCTAAAGCTGCTTCTGCTGCACCGTGATCCTCATGTCAGGTCGAAGCAGGTCCATCGCAGTCTTCATTTTTCGTCCCAGCAGTAATTCGGCGGGGCTGCAACCGGTCACCTCATGTGGCGTCGATCTGTAAGTGATCAACATGCGCGCAATTTGTGTACGAAGGTCCCCCGGTCCAGCCTTCTGCAACTTCCTTTTTACAGTCTGAACTGCACGCTCTGCAGCACCATTAGACGCTGGGTGGTACGGTGGTACCAGTATTCGTCTCACCCCATTCTTCTTCAAAAGTGTGGCACACATGTCGCTCACAAACGCTGGACCATTGCCTGACACCACAATGTCCGGCAAACCCTGGTTGGCATACATGGCTCGCAGACACGTGACGGTGGCCTCCGCAGATGGAGTTGAAACCGGAAACACCTCAATCCACTTGGAAAAGGCATCAACTGCAATAAAAAAATAAGTGTTGCGGTAAGGCCCTGCGTAGTCGACATGAAGTCTCGACCAGGGTTTGTCTGGGAACGGCCATGGCATGACGGGTATTGGCCGTGATGCTCGCTGCTGCTCCTGACAGGTGGGGCACTCTTGCACAGCCGCAACAATATCATCGTCTATTTTAGGCCACCACACGTGGCTCCGCGCTATAGCCTTCATCTTGGATATCCCTGGATGGCTTTCGTGAAGAAGCCTCAGGACGTCGCGTTAGAGAGATGCAGGAACCAACACGCGGTTGCCCCAGAGCACACAGTTGCCTTGTACACTCATCTCTGTGAACCGCGTCTCGTACGGTTTTTCCTCTGGTCCCAAATCCGACCGGCGGCCAGTCCACAAGGCCTCTCTCACTCGTGAAACCACTGGGTCCTGGGCGGTGGCCTCAGCGACAGCTGCTGACGACAGCACACGTGGGTACAACCCTGCCAGCATGAAGACTTCAGCAGGGCAGTCCACGGGAAAATCTGTTGTTGGCAGTGGCAGACGACTCAGTCCGTCCGCATGTCCGATATGGCTACCAGGCCGGTAGCTCAGTTTATAGCGGTACCCAGACAACAGCACGGCCCATCGCAGCACCCTTGGAGAGCACGACTCTGGAACAGGCTTGTCCGACGCGAGCAGGCCCAGTAGCGGCTTGTGATCTGTGATTGCTTCAAATGGTCGGCCCCACAGGTACTGCCTAAATTTCGTTACTCCGAATACGAGGCTCAACGCTTCTTTGTCCAGCTGGCTGTAGTTTTTTTCCGCAGCTGCAAGGCTTCGAGATGCAAAAGCAATGGGACGCTCCTCCCCCGACGCTTCTCGCTGTGCCAAGACGGCTCCGAGTCCACACGGTGAGGCATCCGTGATCAGCACCGTCGGCCTTGCAGGGTCGAAATGTGCTAACACTCCAGCGGAGGCCAGCAGCTTTTTACTTCTCTGGAATGCTTGCTCTTCTTCAGATGTCCAACGCCAGCGGGCTCCTTCCCCCAGCAAGTAGTTCAAAGGATACAACGCATCTGACGAATTTGGCATGAACCTTCTATAAAAGTTGATCAAGCCCAAGTAGTTTTGCAGATCCTTCACATTCCGAGGCACTGGTGCCTCCAGCACGGCTTCTGTCTTGGTTGGATTTGGCTGAAGACCTGCGGAGCTGATGATGTGCCCCAGATACTCCACCTTGTCCGCCATGAACTCGCATTTGGACAGCTTTAGCCGCAGTCCAGCTTTCTTCAGTCGCTCCAGGACCTGGCACACATTTGCCCAATGGTTGCTGTCGTTGGTGCCGGTCACGAGTATATCGTCAAAGTATACTGTGACATGATCAAGGTCGTGTAGGAGGTTCTCCATCGCGCGTTGAAACAAAGCTGGAGCTGACGAGACCCCAAACGGAAGTCTGGTAAATTGATACAAACCCTTCGGGGTGTTAATGGTAACAAACTTTTGCGAGTCTTCGTGCAACTTGACCTGCTGGTATGCATCTTTCAGATCGAGCTTCGTAAACTTGACTCCCCCCGTGAGCCTTGCGAACAGCTCCTCGATGCGAGGGATCGGGTACGACTCGAGCACCGTCACAGGGTTGACTGTTATCTTGATGTCGCCACACAAGCGAACACGGCCATCCCGCTTCACTACGGGAACGATGGGCGCCGCCCACTCGGACGTCTTCGCTGGTCGAATGACGCCCCCGCGCTCCATCCTCTGTAACTCCTCAGTAACTCTGTCTCGTAACGCGAACGGGACGACTCGCGGCTTGAAAAATCTTGGTTTAGCACCCACCTGCACGGTAATCTGGGCGGCCACGCCATCAAAGGACCCAGTCCTTCTGAAAATACTTCATGGAACTGACTCACCGCTTCCTCCACAGACGTCACAGCGTTGACGACTTCTGGCTTGACGATTCCTAGCTTGAATTCCTTCATCCAGCTTCTTTCGAAAAGCGTAGGACACGGGCCCTTTACGACGAACAAGGGCAGAACGCGCTCGTTCTCGCCCAGCTTCAGTTGCCTCAAACTTGCCCGCCACAGGCTTCATGTCGCCAAAAAAACTTCTTAACTGGACGTCCGATGGCTCCAGTGTCGCCGAAGAAAACAGTTGCGTAAACTTCCTTTCGCTAATGGTTGACACGCTGGCACCGGTATCCCACTCCATGTTCAATGTCACTCCGTTGACGGCAACCCCAAAGGTCGTAAGGCTCCTGCGTTCCTGATTTGGATTCCGGCGCTGCCAGCTTGTCATCCACGTTGTGGACAGGTCTCGATCCACTCCTGGGTCTGGCCTTTTCCGTTTGACATGTATTGGATCGGCATACCCGGGCCAAATGCCCTCTCTGCTCACACTTGAAACAGGCGCTGCCTACGTGGCGACATTGGCGTGCTAGATGATTACCCCTACAGCGGAAGCAAGAACCACTTGCCTGCTGTTTGGTGGGCTTAGTCTTGACAACATTCGCAGACTCCCCGGCCTGCACAGGTGTCGTTTGAGCCAGCTGAAAACGTAATGCTCGGGAATCTTTCTTGGCAGCTTCCATGGCGATTACGGTGTTCCTCGCGGTCTCAAAGTCCAACTCGGCCATTTCCATCAGGCGAGTCTGCATTGCGACGTCGTTGATTCCGCTCACGATTTGGTCCCGTAGCATGCGCTCCCGAAACGATGCGAACTTGCAGTCTTCGGCAAGCTTCTTCAGCGATGCGATGTAATCGTTTACAGGCTCTTCGTCCCGCCGATACCGAGAAAAAAACTTGAAGCTGGCCACCACCTCCGATACCCTCGGCGAGTAGTGCTTGTTCAAAGCTTCGAAAATCGCAGCCAATGTTGCATCGGCAGGCTTCGTAGGGGCGAGCAGGCTCCGCAGCAGCGAATAAGTTTCTGACCCGCAGCACGTCAGAAACACGACAGTCCTCTTCGTTGCAGCGATGTCGATCACGGCGAAGTACAATTCTACCCGTTCGCGATACTCGGTCCAATCCGACGTAGCCGACTCGAACGGTTCGACCTTCCCGATGACAGGCATGGCTGCTGAAGTTGACGCAGGACGAACAGGTAAGACGTGCGCGACCGTTTTTTCTCGCTCGTCGCCAGTTGTGATAATCCACGCTAGGTACGCTGCCGGAGTCAAGGTCAGGGACAACATTCCAAATTAAGGACGTAGACCGCACTGACTGGCCCAGTCAGGCATCGTCTTCGTCGTCTGTTTATTTACCACCGCGGTGGTGCCCTCGTGTGTACAGCGCAAGATATCACAGTTCGGGCCTGTGGTGTGGGTATAGACAATAGACCCTTTCAGAAATTCAGTGCCATCTGGTGGTTCGTAAAGCAGTTTAGGTTTTGCCCTATCAATGGCGGAAATGAACTTGTATCGGCACCGTCACTTTCGCAAGTCGACGGCACGCGAGGAATTGTTCAGTGTGAGTTCTTTCTGGATCACTTTCAGGTCGATGGTGACCAAGAACGTGCATTCAGAACAAAGCTCCAACCCACTGAGATGCCTCGAGAAAATTCCAAAGTGCTTTAAAGCCGATTGTGTGCCACAACAGATTGACTGAATCTGAGCAATTAGAAATAAACGCTTACGTAGCTCTTGTGTTCCAGCCCTACTTCGCTTCGTACTGACCCCCGAACGTACAGGCCTCGCAATATCCGCTTAGGAGCATCTTCAACGTCTTCCTTTATCAGTCACTAGAAGGCCGCCATTCGTATGGCACAGATGCCGTTCCACAGATGATGATAGTGATCAAAGTGGCCAGACTGAATTTCGGAAAGGGTCTATTGCAAGCATGGCGCCACAAGTGGTGCCCCATGCGTGCAAGCGCGTGCAACGCGCGGGTGAACGTAGCTTTCGCAAGCTCGTAATCGCACGGGCGTGCCTGCTCGAGCAGAGACATGGCGGCGGCCAGTCGCCCAGCTTGCAATCGTCTATAGTTGGCCGTGAGCTCTGGATGGGCATGTACAGTGGGTACAACGCCGCCATACTCTGGCAGATGAAACTCCTATCTGAACAGCTGACGACTTAGATTGTGTAGTAGCATAGAAGACGAGAAAAGCTCGGGACATAGGAGCGCGCTGGGCTCACGTGAATCGAGAGATTCGGATCCTGACGTGTATGAAGAACGGTCTTCGCAGTGCAGTTCTGGGGTTCAAAGAAAAGTGCGTTTATCCTGCCTACGGGTCCGTGTCTACTCCGCTGCAAATTGGTGTCGAGGGTTCCTGGAGAATACCTGCAGAACGGCTCAAGATGATGAATGCATTGGGCGAGACGTTGCAGCGAGGAACATCGAACGTCTTCCGGCTCATGGGACAATGCAGGACCATTCGACACGAAAAAAGGGGACTGGATTTTTTATCATATAAGGTTTCAAGCATCTCTGGACATCGCCGGAACGAAAGATGATGCAAGAAAAAGGAACTTTCTGATTGCATCTCTGGGGTCCGAGACGTTCAGGCTGCTGCACTCTCTGGTTCAACCGAGGCAGTTCAGTGAAGTTCCGTATACGGAATTGACAAAAACACTGGACACTCATTTTTCGCCGAAGCATTTCAAGGAATTTGAACGAGCGAAATTGTTTTCAACACGCCAGGATGAACGTGATAAACCAACTGAATTCTTTGCACGACTACGAACAGTCATTTACAACTGCGAGAATGAGAACGAAGTCAATGCTTGCGCATGTTCGTTGCTCGTTGCTTTTATAATTGGACTTCGAGATCAACGCTTGAGAGCACGTCTCGTCCAAGAGAAAGTGCTATCGATCGACAGTGCACTCAGATTGTCGGAAAACTTTCTTTGAGCGGAAGAAGAGTCCCGTCAATTGAGAAGCGCCGCCGAATCACCCATCGCAGTCAGCCAGGTGAGAGATCTACAGAGGTCTGCTAGACAATGTTTTCGTTGCGGGAATGCAAACCCCGTGAAAGACAAGAGCCGGTTCAAGTCTGGAGATTGCAGAGCTTGCGGAACCAAGGGGCACATTACTAAGATGTTTAGGAAAGGCCACTCAGGCAAATCCCGATAAACAAGGAAAGGAACGATGCAAGTAATCACCAGGTACAAAACTTGAAAGTATAAAACAGCGAGGACGAGGACGGGAACAGGACATCTTTCATTTAGCAACAACATAGAATGGCACAACGGTAAAAAGGTAAAGGATTTCACTAAGCTGTGGCAGTCAGTACATTAGACGCACTGGGAGATGCGTCAACCATCGACTCAGAGAACACAACTTGGAAGCATCAAAGGCTTCAAATGAGTCGTATCACCCAATTGTCGTTCACAACGTTTGGGCAGTTGATCCGCCACAAGTAGAAGCAAATGCATCGGTCATGGCTCTGGAACAATAAGCTGATGCGTCCGAGTCCACTGCGGTTCGTCGGTATCGGACCAGACTACGCAAAGCACCTGGTGTCTTCACATTCACCTGAAGAGGAAGGAATGTAGTAGCGTAAAAGACGAGAAAGACTCGAGACATAGGGGCGTGATGGGCTCACGTGAATCGAGAGATTCACGTGAGCCCATCACGCCCCTGATTGATTCCATGCATATGTGAGTGCTGTACTTTGGCAGTGCTTCCAAGCTCCTGTATAACCTCGTGATTTTCATAGAACGGTGTTTTTGTTAAAAAAAAACAACTCAAGATCACAAAACGAAATTAAGCATATATTTGTTTTGCTGTCCTCATTTTCGCAGCACGGTTTCTGATGACCTAATTTATTTTAACGAAGGTGGTACCGTCTTAAACTCATTTCTTTTCTTAACGACTGGGAGCTTCGAACTTTTCTATCAAGAACCGCTTTGTACTGCTTCGCGCTTGGTGGAATCTATAACTGAACCATTATTTCAAAAGCGTCCCTGAACAAGAGCTGTTCCGAGACAAAATGCAAAGCAACCCGAAGCCGAACCGGAACCAAACCGGAATAATGACCGGTTCCACTTCCTGCTTTTAACCCAGTCAATCTTCTAATATTTTCGTAGAAAACAAATAAAAGAAAATGATTTAAATGTACAATACACGTAAACGTTTACGTTTTAAGGCAGGTTCCATAATATGGTGGTACAGTCCCTAGGTGTGGCGCCTCATACCGATTTTCCTTTGTCAGTGTTTTTCTGTTCCTGCCGCAGAGCATGGAAATTTGGGGCATTTATACGCAGCGTCGGCTTCTAACAGCGCACTAGCGGTGCTGGTGCGAACTAATCGAAGCAGAGAAGATACATTCTTTTTCGCACGCACGCACGAACTAGACATTTTAAGGCCTTATCAAGCGAACAACACGTTACCCATGTATATGTGGAGGGTATACACAGTCCGTGTGCAAAGAACATGGGTGATTTTAATGTTTGGCGCCTCTTGGGACTCGCATTCCTTTTACACTTGCCCTCGCGATCGATGTCTGCAGTGACAAGAGGTTACCACGAAGCGCTTTGTGCGACCACCCTTCGGCTTAGCACAATGAGTGATGTGAGGATGCTTTTCCCTACTCTTGGCGATCGTATCCGCGTTTGATAACGTTAGCACCTTTATGCTGCTTTTTTTAGTAACACAATGTGGCTCTCTGTGGCCATTTTGGTTTCACCTTTTAAAATCAGAGGAATGGAATGGTGAAGTAGAGCCAGGGGAGTGGGAATAAGCGCAGTGGCTTCATTCCGAGTAGCTGAAATAAATGGAATTGCCGGAAACTCTAATTACCCGGAATGGATTTGGAATGAAATGGGACTGCCAATGCACGAACACAGCTCTGAATGACAGTCATATTGAATGCTAAAGTGCCTTGCCGTCGAATACACTAAGGGTTCTCTTTTGATATGAAAATGTGAGCACCTTAATTATTTCTAAGCGACTCTATTTTTTTCGACGCGAAGCTTTTACTTTTTACGCAACCGATGAGCCGGTTAAGAACCTGATCGCCATTAAAGCATGCAACTATAAATCAG